CCTTAACATGGGATTTATGCTCTTTACCTCATAAAACCATATTATTGCCTCTAGCTCTTTCTTCAAGTTATTCTCCATGCAAAAGAGTAAAATTTATTTTCCAGTATCGTTAATAAAAATATTATATAATGAGTTTAAATATATCATTTAATGAGTTCAAATTTATTTTTTAATTAACATTGAACTTTACGGACATATTTGTAATTTTTATAATATGACGGGTTTACCGTCAAGGTAAAGTGGGGCTAATACGAATAAGTATTCTAATCTAGGTCCACCCTCAAATCTCTTTTACAAAAAGTGAACACGATGTTCAAAGGTGTGTAAATGACTATAATACCTCATCATATTTTAATATACTTCAATTTCATCAATTTAATCTCAATTTAATCCCAAATTTCACAATTTTATTCAATTTGACCCCAAACCAAATTTTGACCATCACCGCCGTTGACGGCCAGTCTCAAACGTTGATTTTGTTTGGTTTTTTTTTTTTTTAAACTTTTTTTCCATCGCCATTGATTTTTTTTTATTGAACATTTTTTGGCTCCGGTAAAGCAGTAATATTATTGTTGTTGACAGTAAAATTAACTATATTATTGTTTAACACAATATTATTGTTATATAACTATCTAACACAATAAAATCACTATGTTACATAATAAATTATTGTGTATTACAGTAATATGACCGTCAACTACAATAATATTCTTATACTAAACAATAATATTATTACGTTGATCGGTCAACAAAACAAACAAAATAAAAAACTAAAACAATTAATATTGTTGTGATTGACAATATTATTACCATCAACCACAATAATATTGTAATACTAGACAGTAATATTATTACATGGACCGGTCAACATAGCAAACAAAATAAAAAAAATCAAAAAATCAATAATATTAATGTGGTTAACTGTAATATTAATGTGTTTACAATAATTTTACTGTCAACCAAAGTACTGTTATTGTCAACAGTCAGCGGCGGACGGGAAAAAAAAAAAAGTCAATGTCGGTCTCCGGCGGCTTAAAAAAAAGTTCAAGGAAGAACAATATAGTTTACTCAAGCCTTGTTTGCTAGGTTAGATTGACTAAATAGTATGAGTAATTAGTAAGATGTTTCGTTGGTAGAATTCAACATAACTCAAATCCGCTACTAAAGCTGAAACCCGCAAATAAGGGCTACTACGTCATGAAATTAGTAACACCCATCACCTTGTGATTAGTTTTGTAGGAGGTGATTAAAACGGAAAATTCCATTTTTTCCTTCAAACAATAACTTAATTTTGTAAAATAAAAGACTTAATAGATAATTCATATATAATAACAGAATCTAACAAATGTAATACAACATGTAATCTAAAAAACCAAACATATTATTAACTAATTAATTAGTTGATCAGTATGAATTTAATCCAATCTAATCTATTCTTATATAGGTAAGCAAACGAGGCCTCAATATTTCGTTAATGATATAAATCTTTTGTAAAAAAGTAAACCGTCATGTGTTGAAGTGTTGGGTAATATTAAATTTGAAGAAACATATCCTTAATATTTCAGTTTACATTTAAACATCTATAAATTGATGCAATTGTGACCAACAAAGTTCTATTAATTTAATAGAATATCAAATTATAGATAAACTATAATTTATATATTAATTAATAACTTATTATTATACGATATTACTATTATTATTATTATTGATCCGGTCAATTTCAACATTTCGGCCTACCATTAAATCCAGCCCAAAGTAAGGCAAAAGCCATGAAAACAAGCTATTGGCGAGAGACAAACAGATGGCAGCAAATAGATGTCAGAGGTCTCGGGCAAAGTAACAGACCAACAGACGACGGGCGAGCATCGAAACGTTAGCCAAACTAGTAGTCTAACAACATTTAATGCATATCCCATCAAATTCACTTCAGGGTATAGTTACTTTTGGCACATGAGACATGAGATAGTAAATGCTATTGAAGAGATTTGGGTTCCAGAGATATTTTTACTGGCAGTGATCGAATGGATTAAACTGAGCCGAAGGAATAACTAAAGTACGTCCCTCTGTCCCCTATAAATACGCAACGCACTAAGCCATACATGGTAACAACACACGCATTATTGGCTAGTATATTCAAGAAGAAACCATAGTTCGTACGTTTAATATTTTTTTTATTCTTAATCTAAATACAAAAATAACAAGGGAAAATGAGATATTCCCCCTAATTTTGAAAATATATATAAGGAGAACCAATATTTTTTTCCGCTTTAGTTAAAAACATAAATTCTTATCTTAATTAGTGTGACCCCTTTAGGCAACTTAAAATACCTGTTTTGCCCTTTAGTTGCCCTTAACCCCCTAACCTTATCTCTTCCTCTTCCACACGCTATTATATCTCTTCCTCTCTCAATATCTCGTCATCTATCCCTCTCTCTAACTTTCTCTCACCAAATTCCAGCGACAAAAGATGGCTCCCAGACCAGCAGAAAAGAAGATGGTCGTCGGCGGAGAGAAGAAGAAGAAGAAGAGCGTGGAAACGTACAAGATCTACATCTTCAAGGTGTTGAAGCAGGTTAACCCACAAACCCTCAACCCTTCAAGAGTTGCTCCCCCTTCGGCTGCTCCTCCGAATTATTCTTTGGGTACTTGTTTATTTGTTTTGATTTTTTGTGAATGTGGTTTGATCAATCGTTTTGAGTCCTCCCCTGCCGAATTCTGATGTTAAAGTATCTTTCTCCCTATTCCTCTATCTCCTCTCCTCAGTCTGTTTTTTTTTTTGGTGTTTTCTAGTGTAAATTTTAGTTACAGCAAAAAAAGTCGATATTGAAGAAGATGGGCAACAACATGCCAATTAGAGAGAATCAGCTATGTAGACACATATAGTTATATGTAGTCATATACAATCATATCATATATGATTGAGCTACCCTATACAATCGAGAATATACAATATTAAAGGGTATATGAAGCAAGAATATGACTATAGTCAAATATAATCATATATAGTCATATATAATCATATATAGTCATATTCGAAATAGTAAACTTTTCGAGAAATAAAATTAGAATTTAAAAAAAAAAAAAAAACATTATTTAAAAAAAATGAAAATGCTAAATGCAGTTGGTGGAATGTTGAATGCAGTTTTGATGTAGATTAGGAAAATTAGACTTGATTTGGTGGGGTGCGCCGGACTTATGCTGTAGTGCAACGCATGAGCGACGCTTGAAAACCCAAACAGCAAGCTGCCTTGATGAGTCTTCCCCCTTAAAAAATAAATTTAATATCGTGTGAGCCAATGGCCCACATATCAGATATTAAACTGATAAGAACAGATACTACACTTGATCTTAGCCAAAAGGCCGAGAAAGGTATGAGAATTCCAGTGTAAGGTTGTCTTCATTTATATTCATTGTCTCTGGGGCTTCTAGCTTCCACAACCGATGTGGGACTAACATAAAACATTATTCTGTTTAGATTATTCTTTCTTCTTCACATTGGCAACTTGTTATTTTCTTCCTTGTATTAATTTACCCAATATCTATAAAATACTGAAACCAAGAATTGTACAACCTCGAGTACAAACACTTCTCATAGAGATATAGTAGTAGAGACTGAAGAAAGAATAATAGCTGACAACCCCAACATAATTCAAGAATGAAAGAAACACACCCTAATTTTGTTTTGCTCTAATCACTCCAATCAAATTACATAATTTGTTTGAACCTGAAATATCAACCCGAACTTGAACACGGGCCCACATTATGATAATTTAAGGGGCTATTACTTTCAGCTAGTGGTGGAGACAACCAGGGGCGGCCCTGGTCAGGGCGAGCAGGACCCACTTTCCAATGGGCCCAAAAAATATAGATTTTTTTTATTATTTTATAATTATTTTTCTTTTCTCTTCTTCCAACCCATATTATCTTCATCTCTTAACTTTTTACCCCCCACTTTCCACATTAATTTTTTTGACCCAATCCATTTTTTCATTTATCTCTCTCTATTTTTTTTCACCCAATCTCTTTTATCCTCTTACCCTTTCTCATTTTCATTGTTTTACTCTAATTTAATTTTTATTGCACTCCTATATATTTTTCTACTGTTAGTTTCTACAGTTTAAACTTATTTATTTTTTTCATGTTATTGGTGTTTTTATTTCTCAAAATTAAATTATTTTTGTTAAATTAAAAAACCTTTTTATAATACCCATTTTTATTTAATATATATATATATATATATATATATATATATATATA